ACGTTTATTTATTTTTGGGACAGAGAGAGACAGAGCATGAATGGGGGGAGGGGCAAGGTGAGGTCTTATGATAGAAAGCTTGTTTGGGAAATTATCTGTTATCTGGCAAGGATGGTGATGTTTGGTGTTGTCCAGGGCAAAAAACTGAAATACTCACTAAATTATCAGTGACGTAAAATTATATGAAATATTATTATAGTATTGTTTATTATGTTGGATTGTAATGATTTGAACTTTAGTGAGCCATGCATAATAAATTATCTCTATTACAAACAACATGTTTTTTTTTTTTTTTCAACGTTTATTTATTTTTGGGACAGAGAGAGACAGAGCATGAACGGGCGAGGGGCAGAGAGAGAGGGAGACACAGAATCGGAAACAGGCTCCAGGCTCTGAGCCGTCAGCCCAGAGCCCGACGCGGGGCTCGAACTCACGGACCGCGAGATCATGTCCTGGCTGAAGTCGGACGCTCAACCGACTGCGCCACCCAGGCGCCCCACAAACAACATGTTTTATTCTTAATCCATATTTCGTTTTGACTGGTCATGTTGATGTATATGTATGTATTCAATGAAAGGGGTTCTGTGAAACAATGATTAAGGCTCTTTTAAGTCAGCCTTAAGGAATGTTTTACCTTGATGGGATTGCTGTTGTCTTGAGTGGACTTGAAGATATGGAACCTCTCATTCATTCCATTATTTCACATGTATTTACTGAGTGTCTACCATGTGTCATGTTCAATTCTAAGTACTGGGAATACTGCAGTGACCAAAACAGATATGATTCCTTCCCATGTGTAGCTTATATTCTTGCTGGGAGTACAGAGAGAAAACAGTAACCGATAAGTAAATATATAGCATGTCTGGATACATTGTGAAGGTAGATCCCATTTGGCTAACAGATTGGCTGTGGTGTGTATGAGTTTCAAGGATATCATCAGCAGAGATTTTGGCTTAAGCAAGCAGAAGTATGTAGTTGCCTTTCCTTACTTTGAGAAAGACAGCAGGAGATGGGGGTTTGGAGGTACTGGTGTAGATCAAGAATTGTTATTATGTATTAAAGTTGAGCTACTTGTTAAGCATTGGAATTGAGATATTCAATAGGCAGTTCAGGGAAGAAGTCTGGGTTGAAGATAGAAATTTGGCAGTTTTCACTAGAGAGTGGATATAAAAAAAAGAGGTCCAAAGTATGAGCCTGGCGCACTCCAAAACTGAGGGATTGGGTAGATGAGGAATCAGTAGATAAGACAAAGAAGAGTAGCCAGTGAACTTCGAGAAGAACCAGGATAGTCAGTACCAAGTTAAACAATGTTTTAAGAAAAAGGGGATGATCAGTTCTGTTAAATGTTATGTATGGTTCAACTAATACAAGAACTGACCACTGATTGAGCAACATTGAAGACAAGTCCTTTTCATGTGAGATGGAGACAGAAGCCTGAGTGAGGTGGGTTCAGGAGAGAGTTTAAAGGAAAGA